AGAGTATTGCCACAAAACACCGGCATAGCCTTACCACATCTTAAGAACCCAAAGAACTGATCATATCCATTACCGTGTCGACCCAAACTACTACCAAGTTATCTTATTTCTCCAAGTTCCTTCCGGATTTCCTTCAAGACAACACTTCTCCCTACTAGAACACCACGATCCTTACCCAAAGCTCACCACAAGAGACCCTAGCATGAAACCATGTCGTCCTAAAGCCCATAAGCCACTGTATTCCCTTTTAAGCACTCAAAGTACCGCATCTTTGATACTCACTATGAAGTGACCTTATGTGAATCTGAAGCCATTTCCTTAATCTATCTGATACTAAAATATAGAATCCATAATGATAAAAAAAAATCGCGAGTACCGACACCATCCAATGCAAACCTCAGATCTTAGTCATATACAAATTCGAAAAATACTCAAATGCCACATATGAATCTTGAACTCTATAGAACCTTCTCAAAAGTCATCCACCCTATTCAAATCTCAAATGCACTGCCCAAATGAACTGGACTACATGTGCTCCATTTGCGCACCAACGCCCCAAGAAGTAATCCATACCTCTTGGCAACCGAGTGAATCCCTTTTCTTAGTTCATTACATCCATCACGAGTAGCAAACCTAAACCATTCCAAGACTTTCACATATCCATAAGGTGTATTAAATCATGTATCTAGAAATTTCCTTACCCGAGTCATCCTCAAAACCAACTTCTTCAAGTCACAACTGATCCTCAAACATGCCTCAGATCAAAAATATTACAACACATAATCATGCACTCTAATTGTTGATAGCAGACTTCCCCACTTGGCTCAAAGCCATATGACATGATATCTGATATCCCGTAATACCCTTATTCCATAACTGACATAATCACATATTGTAATTCAACAAAATCCTTCATGAACCCACGTAGCACTAATCATACAAATACCTCGAATCATCTGTTAAACTCACATTCTTCCCTGTGAGAGTCAAGACAACTTCCTCAAGCGATCCAAACTCAAATTGCAACACATATAACCCATCGGTAAGAGAAAAACTCTCCACAGAAACATCATAGGGATCATACCACCTCAGAACATCCCGCATGAGATAACCCACCTGATTAGCCTCAAACTGGCACCTCCTTATGCCCTACCATAGTCAAAACCATCGTGTATTCACTAAATCTCATCGAGTCTAAGCTCATCAACAAAACATAAGAATTACTTCACCCCGCACATGAACAACATGAAAGATCCCTAAACATGCTCATAACTCGAGATTGTACAACACATCAAGACATAAATCAAGCAACCAATAGCCCTTTCCATATCCCAAGCAAACTCTTCTCGCCACATCCAAACAATTTGAATGCATATTGCATTCACGTCATACTCATCACATAGCCATCCAACCACTCACCGAGCCATAAGCCTTACTACCAGGGACACTACCGGACATCTAAGTCCAAAAGAACATGCTCACACAACTGGAACTATCGAGCCCAAGCTACAATCAAAACCCGGACACAAGTCCTCCAGATTGGACTATTACCCAAAACACAGAAAGCACGTCTCGCACACCATCCACGGAATCACAAGATGTCAGTGCACAGCCGATACTGAGCGCTCACATAACATAATCCGAGTGAGTGTAAGGATTCAAATAGATACGCTTCAAGCTGAATAAATAACGCACGATAAGGAAATAATGATGGGATGTCTATCCTAAATGCCCCGCAGCCTCTCGAAGATAGATATGTACGTTATCATACCGATCCGCAAGACTACTAGACATTTGCTCCTGACTCTTAGAAACTATGAACCTAGAGCTCTGATACTAACTTGTCGCGACCCAAAATTCAACTAGTTGCGATTCCACCTAATCCAACCAGCTAGGTAAGCCAATTATCCATAAACACAATCCAAATGAGATTAACAGGAAATAAATAATAAAATAACTGAATTCTTATAAAATAACCCATGGACTGGTAGTATAAATCATGAACTTCTAAGACTTAGAGTTACAAAACTGATAGGAAAATGATACAACATCTGTTTGAAATATACATAAACAAAATCTTAAATCTAGAACTACCAAGAATAAGTGGTAGCGGTAACTGGAATGTAGGTACATCTTCAATGGCAATTGCCGTCATTCACAACAACATCAGATCCAACATATGCACACAAGGTACATAATTGTAGTATGAGTACAACCGATCCCATGTACTCAATAAGTAACAAACCTACCTCAAGTTGAAAGCAGTCACGAGCTCGAAAAACGATCAGAGTCCAACACCAATAGGCAATAACAACTCGTAATAATATAATGAATGCAGTTAAAGTAATAACTCAAAGATATTATACTATCTTGTTTGCAGTTACGAAAAAATAGACATGTTTTCCAGGTATAACATTAAAGTTCAAATCTTTCACCGGAATCACCAAAATATGAGTATATCAGAAAACTGTGATTTTTCCCAAACTTTCACCAACATATAAGACATTTCATTACCAGATAGCATGAGGAAAGTACATATCTATGCTTACATGTCAATATGCGTGTCAAGTCATTAATTATTATATACCGTTTAGCGTGAGGAATATAAATCTCTATGCTTACATACCAAGTATGCATGTCATATGAATGATTTCACAGTGATATTCCTAGGTACTCTTACCCTCAAACATACTCAAGATGTCTATCTCAAATGTCCACTTCATCACATACATACACACAAAATCACTTAGCACTGTACGAGTGCCTAGCTCATATGCCCCTCACCAAAGCACGTGTATATATATTAGTGTGCCTGTGCTCACTGCTGGTATGTCAGACTCCGGAGGGGTGGATCTTGCCCGAGCACTAATAAAAGCTTATAAGGCCTGCTGCAGCGTGCAGTCTGATCCACAATAATAATAATCCAATAAGGCATGTTGCGGCATGCAACCTGATCCACAATAATAATAAAGCTAATATGGCATGTTTCGTCGTGTATCTCGATCCACAATAACACTCTCATCACACCTCTAAGGCCGACCTCAGTCATCAACCTCTCAAGTCTCAAGGACTCACAATATCATACCACTCAACCCAACAACTCCACATATGGTAAAGAAATAATAACATACAATATAACAATGAATGATGAATGAGATATGATATGCAAATGATGAATCATGACTGAGTATAATTACTATTAAATCAGATAACCCACAACAACAGAAATAGTCTCATCAAGTCTCAATCAAGTAGCCACATAGCTTAAATATGATTTCTAGCATGAATCATAGCTCAGTTAAACTAACAAGTAGGAAAAATACGGATACAACAAGACATAATAGCAACATAGTCCAAAAGTCAACCTCGATCATGATTCTCCCGTGCACGCCCACACGCCCGTCACCTAGCATGTGCGCCACCTAAACACATCACAAATAACATGGTTCTTAGGGATAATTACCCTCAATTCTAAGTTTAGAAATGTTACTTACCTCGAACATGCCAAATCAAATACCGAGCAAGCCAAACAATACTCTAGAAATACCATCCCGCGCAGGGGCGGACCCACATAGGGTTAAGAGGGTTCATATGAACCCGCTTCATCGAAAACTAATATTGTGTATATAGGTATATTTTTTCTGTCTTCGAAAAAGTAATGGTATAAAGATTATTTTGAACCCGCTTCAAACAAGTGAATCGCCTAGTCCGCTGGTAAAAAGGGTTCAAATTTTTTACATGGTCGTGAGTTCGAACCAGTTAGTCACAATACCCTCTATTTTGGTTTTTTTAATATACGTTTCTTTTCTACTCCAAAAACGACGCCGTTTAATTTTTTAAAATATCCCCCAATTCTCCAAATCAGAAAAATATCCCCATATTCCCCAAATTAGAAAATGATCGGTTCTAATCCCAAGCCCTTCGATGCCTCTCTCTCTCTCTCTCTCTCTCTCTCTCTCTCTCTCTCTCTCTCTCTCTCTCTCTCTCTCTCTCTCGTTCAATTTAAAAAAGAATCGCTTCCATAGTATCTCCTCCGTTAGCCCCTGCCCAGAAGGTCGTCTCTCTCAAAGACAAAGGGCTTCATCTTGGTATCTAACTAAAACTTCAGGTGATCAATAAGAACCAATTCTAGTTTTCCAATTTTCAGTATTTATTCCTCTTTTGCATAATTATTTAATCCCAATAAATTTCCTTCACCTCTATGTACTTTCTTCTCTTTGTTGTAGTTCAATTTCAAAGAACATTGCTTCATGGTCGTCTCCTCCATTAGCCATAAGCCTCTGCCGCTTCTCGTTGGGTCGCCTCTCTCCGTCTCTCGCCGTCAGCCTATCAATTGTCACTATTAGGTTTCTCTTTGATTTTTAATCCTTTTTTTTCCTTTCAGTTACAAAGCTTAAGAAGGGCAGGTTTTTCAATTTTCTAAATGTATATGCTTTCTTATCTACGTGCTTGTGCATCTCCAGGTAGTTTAACTACAACAGTGATGTGTGTCGCTCACTCTATTGGTTAATCTTATGGCTAAATCAGTTGTAGTCGTAGCCCCATATAAGGTTTCTGTATATTTGAGAGAAATTGATGCTATGGAATGGACATAGTTGGTCTTGCATTATTGTTAGTTAAATTTGATGCAATGAAACTGAAAGTAGTATGGAATTAATGAATAGCCGAGAGAATTTTGATGTTATGGCTGCTGGCTTGCTTATGGACATCTGTCCAACTATCTAGGAAGATCACCTTTGCTGTTATCCATGAATGAAACTTTCATTGCAATAGTTCTGTAATTTGATTACTTATCTTTACTTGGGTTGTCTTCGGCCACATTAAAAAGTTATAAACTATAAAGTAAGTCAAATCAAAATCTCAGAATAGGACTGAAGTTCCAAAATCTTAGCGTATTCTTTTACTTTTAATTCTTATTTGCCATGCTAGTTTAAATTTAAGGTTAAACATATACAAAATTATTCTTCTAATTCTAATTTGGTAATCCAGTTTGTGCTACAATGAAGAAATTTTACCCTCCAGTATCTTCCAAGTTGCCACAACCAAGTTCATCCTCTCCAATTGCTACTCCCGTGGAACAAAATTTGAACCAATTAGAAGAGCAACCTCAATCCTTTAAAAGACAAAGACAAGGATTAGATCTTGATTCTTTACCAACTGATCCAAAAGAGAGAATACCCATTAGAGATTATCATCCAAATAAGCGTGACGAGATTAGAAGAGAGAATCTCCGAAGAGGTCCTTACCAACCCCGATATCATAAGTTTTCTCAAAGAGATTTTTCGAGCTTAAAGCGTCGTTTTAATCCTAAATGGTTTGATAAATATCGTAATTGGTTGGAGTACAGTGTGATAGAAGATGCATCTTATTGTTTGTGTTGTTACTTGTTTCAAGATGAAAACATTCATCAAGGTGGAGGCAATGTATTTTCAAGTTTAGGATTTAAGAGTTGGCAAAAAAAGAAGAGATTCGTGTTGATCTCGACGTAAAGTTGCTGATTATACTATTTTACATCACTATCGTGTTGATATATTTTTTAAGATTATTGATTGGCAAGTTCAAGAACTCAATGCTTGTTTTAATGAGGTGACAATGAACTTGCTTGGTGGAGTAGCTTGCTTAAATCCAGTTGATTCATTTTCCAGTGTTGACATAAACAAGATATTGATGATGGTTGAATTGTATCCTGACGATTTTGATGAGAATATAATGGTTACGCTCAAGAATCAACTTGAAACTTATATTGTTGATGTTCGTGATGTTGATGAAAGGTTCTCAAATCTACAAGGACTTGTTGATCTTTCTGAAACATTAGTTAAGACAAAGAAGCATTTAAATTATCCATTTGTGTTTCACCTTGTAAAATTTGCTTTGCTTCTACCAGTTGCCACTGCTATAGTTGAAACAACTTTTTCGGCGATGAAGTTGATCAAGAGTGAATTGCGAAACCGAATGAATGACGAATTCATGAGCGGTTGTTTGGTACCTTATGTAGAAAGAAAAATATTTAACACCATTTTTGATGAGACTATTATGAATACGTTTCAGGAAATGAAAACTCGTAGAGGACAATTGTAATAATATATTTTATTAATATATAGTTTTTGTTGACCTCTTTGTATATTTTCTTCTTTGTATTTTGAACCCGTTTGATAAAAATTATGGGTCCGCCACTGATCCCGCGTGTAATAATCTCCGAACGGCCAAAACTAGCCAAAAGCAACTCACAAACATCAAATAATACCATAGGACACAAACCCAATCGATAAAGCTCGAATTTAATCAAAAACTCTAAGTCAACTAAAAAGTCAAACACAAGCCCGCACCTCGGAACCTGACAAAACGCAAAATCAAATAACCCATTTAATTACGAGTCCAACCATACTAATTTCACTCATATCTGACTCTGAATCTATGTTCAAAACTCAAAATTTTACTTTAGAAAAGTTTAGATAAAAACTCATTATTGCTCTTTAAAATTCATAATCCAAATGCCAAAATCGGAGATAGATTCATGAATATAATAAAAATCGAATAAAAAAATACTTACCCCAATCCAAATTGGAAAACTCCCTTCCGAAATCGCCCAAATATGAGCTCCAAAACTATGTGAGAAAAAGTTACTAAATTTCGGAACAAGTAAAATAATGCAGCAGATGATATAGCTCAAATCAGATCCTAGATGATACCGAAATACATATTTGATAAGATCAACATAATCCTTTAGAGATTACACCCAAGATAGCATTTTGAATCACCCAGTTTGGCCTTAAAATGAGGGAGATATGATGTTTTGAAGTTTTAAAGGAAGTCTAAAAATTTAACGAACAAAAATGCAAATTTCGTAATTATTTTAACAACAACGTACCGAGTATTATCCCACATTGTAGGGTCTGAAGAGGGTAGTATATACGCAGACCTTACCCCTATCTTGTGAAGGTAGAGAGATTTTTTCCAATAGACCCTCGGCTCAGAAAAATATAAGCACCACATTAATTAAAAAGATAGTCAATTAGGGGCAACACCAAAAAGCCATGTAAAAGTAGCATACAAACAACACGATAATAAGATGATAAAAATGAAAGAAACTGACGGGTATTCATAGAAACCTACTACCAACTGAATACGAGAGTACATACTAATCCTATTGGTATGAACAATCTACCACCTACCCTACTACCCTAATCCTCGACTTCGACACCTTCCTATTAAGGGCCATGTCCTCGATCAGCTAAAGCTGCATCATGTCTTGCCTAATCACCTCTCCCCACTTCTTATTTGGCCTACCTCTACCTCTCTGTAGGCCCTCCAATGTCAACCTCTCACACCTTCTAACCGGGGTATCTGCGCTCCTCCTCCCCACATGTCCAAACCACCTAAGCCTCGCTTCCCGCATCTTGTCCTCAATGGGGGCCACACCCACCTTATTGCGAATAACCTCATTCCTGATCCTATCTAACCTGGTGTGCCCGCACATCCATCTCAACATCCTCATCTATGATACCTTCATCTTCTGGATATGGGCAATCTTGACAAGCCAACACTCAGCCCCATATAACATAGTCGGTCTTACCACCACTCTGTAGAACTTACCTTTAAGTTTTGGTGGCACCTTCTTGTCATACTAAACACCAGAAGCGAGTCTCCATTTCATCCATCCTGCCCCAATACGATGTGTAACGTCTTTATCAATCTCCCCATCCCCCTGAATAATAGACCCAAGGTACTTAAAACTACCTCTCCTAAGGATGACTTGCGAGTCCAACCTCACCTCCCCTTCCCCTCCCTGAGTCTCACCACTGAACTTACACTCCAAGTATTCTGTTTTGGTGCTACTCATAGACTCCGGGGTCTGCCTCCATACCTCTAACCTTGTATTCACACCGCCTCATATCTCGTCAATCAATACAATATTATCTGCAAATAACATGCACCACGACACCTCCCCTTGGATGTGGCGCATCAGAACGTCTATCGTCAGGGTAAACAAAAAAGGGCTGAGTGCCGACCCCTGGTGCAAACCCATCATGACCGGAAAATGGTCCGAGTCCTCTCCCATCATCCTCACTCGGGTATTTGCTCCATCATACATGTCTTTAATCATCCTAATGTGGGCAACGGGTACACCTCTATCCTCCAAACACCTCCACAAAACCTCCCTCGAGACTTTATCGTACACCTTTTCTAAGTCAATGAACACCATATGCAATTCCCTTTTCCTCTCCCTATACTGCTCTATCAATCTCCTAACAAGGTGAATGGCCTCTTTAGTCGAGCGCCCCGACATAAACCTAAATTGATTCTCAAAAATAGACACACTCCTCCTCACCCTTAGCTCCACCACCTTCTCCCAAACTTTCATAGTATGGCTAAGCAACTTGATACCCCGATAGTTATTGCAATTTTGGATATCACCCTTGTTCTTGTATAAAGGAACCATCGTGCTCCACATAAACTCCTCGGGCATCTTCTTTGTTTTAAAAATGACATTAAATAACCTAGTGAGCCACTTGATCGCGTCCAAATGCACACCTCAAAAGAGGTATAAAATGGTCATTTGCAATAATAGAAACCCAACTAAGAGCCGGGGTCGAATCTATAGGGAGCTAAGATGGGAGTTATGGGTATCTATTTCAATGTGAGGGATTGAATTATCTAGAATTCACTTCCACACGAAGATTTGTTTTCTATTTCTAATTTTACTCTAAAGATTTCAAAATAAAGAAAGAAGACTAGAGATAATTGTTTTTGAGGTTTTTCCAAATTGATAAAAAGCCTAAGGTTGTGACCATTATCTAGGTATTTGCCTGATGAGATAAAAACTTTAATGCTTGTTTTATTGATTGGGGTGTATTATAGCTATTACATAACACGTAATTCGGGATTTCATAACCTCAGCACCAAGTTTAGAAGTGTTACTTATCTTGAACAAGCCAAATCCAATACCGAGCAAGCCAAACAATGCTCCAAAATTGTCATCTCGCGCGTACCGACCTTCGGATGACTCGAAACTAGCCAAAAGAAACTCAAATGCATCAAATGAAGCCCAAGGAAACAATTCCAAATGATAAAGGTCGAATCTTTAGTCAAAAGCCCAAAGTTAACCAAAATGTCAAACCCGGGCCCGCACCATGGAACCCGATTAAACTCATAAAATCTGACAACCCATTCAATTATGAGTCCAACAATACTAGTTTCACTCAAATCCGACTTCGAATCGATGTTCAAAACTCGAAAATTCACTATATGAAACTTTAGGCAAAAACTGCCAATTTCTCTTTTGAAATCATCAACTAAATGCCAAAAACGAAAATAGATTCATGAAATAAAATCAAAACCGAGCAGAGGACACTTATCCCAGTCCATATGGTGAAAATCTATTTAAAAATCGCTTCAATCCGAGCTCCATAGCTCCAAATATGATAAAATGGCTGAAACCCCCGAAATAGAGTACTTTATAATTCACTGGACAGTCATATGCATCGCGATCGCGGAACAATCCACGCAATCGCGAAGAAGAGAAAATGGCACTACTCAAAATACCCAATGTGTTTGCGAGACATACCATGCGAACGCGCAAACCACTGGAATAAAGCTACGCGAACGCGACCTGATACACGTGAACGCGACCTGATACACGCGAACGCGACCTGATATACGCGAACGCAAAGACATCTCTGCCCAACATACATGTTGATACGCGATCGCGTTAGACAAGCTGCTTGACCTCCGCGAACGCGGTCCTACAATGGCGAACGCGTAGAAGAAAGTGCACCAGCTCCAACATTGTACATTGCGATTGCGTTTCTTTCCTCGCGATTGCATAGAAGGAAAATCAGCACCAGCAGCCCAGAACACACCAGCAATTAAACATGAAGGAAAAATGCTCTGATTCCACTCTGAAACTTACCCGAGCCCCTCGAAACCATGTCCGAATATTCCAACAAGTCCCATAATATAAGACGGACCTACTCGAGGCCCCAACTCACGAATAACAACATCGAAATGATGAATTGCACCCCAAATTAAAATTGATGCACTTTGAACTTTCAACTTCCAAAACTCGCGCCTAAACATATCAAATCAACCCGGAATAAACTCAAATTTTACACACAAGTCCCAAATGACATAACGAAGCTATTCCAATTCTCAAAACCATAATCTGAACCCGATATCATCAAAGTCAACTCCCGGTCAAACTTATGAAATTTTCAAACCTTCAAATTTTTTAACTTTCGCCAATTAACGCTGAATCTTTCTAGAAATATTTAAATACAAATCTGGGCATACGCCCAAGTCCAAAATCACCATTCGGACCTAACGGAACCATCAAAACTCCGTTCCGGGGTCAAACACATAAAAGTCAAACTTGGTCACTCTTCCAATTTAAAGTTTCAAATATGAAATTCATTCTTCCAAATCACTTCCGAATAACCTGAAAACCAAAACCGACGATTCATACAAGTCATAATACATTATACAGAGCTACTCATTCCCTCAAACTACTGAGCGAAGTGCAAATTCTCAAAACGACCGGACGGGTCGTTACATTCTCCCCCACTTAAACATACGTTCATCCTCGAACGTGCCAAGAGTTGCTCCAAAGCCGTCAATCATTGTGTAATCTTACCATGTACATACCCGGGGGTGATCCCTTGTTACCCTAATCCATATAAGTTGGACGACACAACCTAACAAAAGATCTTTAATTCAATCTTAGCCCATAAACCTTGGGATCTAATTTCTAACATCCAGAATTACCTATAAGACCCGAATTTCGCATCCACGCACGGTATAAGCAAGCTGCATCAAGCCATAACCATAACCCAAGACACAATCACATGATATACCACATAACTCAAATATTCATAGCAATAACTTCCGACTGCAAGAGTTACTCGACAACCAACTCGACACCGGTAACAAACCTCATATCAACTAAAATCTTATTCTAAGACCTTCGTACACTGCCAATGATGAAAGAAACACGCAGAAACTCGTATTCACTTATCAAATCAACAAGTCATGGAACTCCCCCTCCTTCGACCAGAACTATAGCCAATTTCTAAGACGACTTCTGATATTATCCTTCCAAATATATCGCAATCAGATCCAATAGCACCCATTCTAGCTCTGACGACCTCATCTTATCAAATTCAGCCGCCCTACTGACATGCCACACCAATACATTTTAGAATCACAACCTGTGCAATCCGTGCACCAATAAGAAACAATTCAAATGCACTCAAAAATGGAAAATGACTCAAATGAGAGAATCGTTCTCCAAGCTCAACAAGTACCACCACAACGTAATGATAAGTATCCATCACACACAGTAGAACCAAAACACCCGAGTCTACACAAAGGATCATGTCTTATCATAACCCAACTGCAATTAAGTGACCCCATCCAAACACTGGTCCATATGAAATACCTCAAGACATAATGCTCAAAATCAACAATCACACGCAATTCAACATCATGTGCACGAAGTGCATGACCATAATCATAGATAAGCAAATAACATAATATACCACATCCTGGAGAGAACATAACCAAGGCACAATCAACCATTCAACACCCTAATAACCATCTCGCTCAAATTTCGGTACAAGGCCCAAACAGAACTGCACCATGTGTGCATGTAACCAATAAATCATAACCCTTCGCGGCATAGAAGAGTAACGCATAGAACATATCAGAACATGCATAATTTCAACTCTAACCAAATGACACACCCCTCAACACTAACAGTTCTGAGCAATAAATCCGACCCGGTGTAGGATACACACCCTCATTAGGCCTACCAATGGGCCCCCAGATCAACCCTGGTTATCCACAAATAGATAAATAACTCTCCGAAAGTCCACAATGACTTAACCATAACACATACTATTGTCTGCCTAGCTCTGGCCACATCTTCACAATCCACAACCACGAAACAATCTGCTTCTGAGAACTCCCAGTCTCCAAATCCACAAAACACATGAATCCCTATATCTGATCCCAACTCCACCGCCCGAATATCTAACACATCTTTTACACACGATCATCCCATGAGGAATACTTCCATAATTCTTCCATGCCACATAGCAAAATCTGAATATCAGCAGTCGATCAACCAGGCGAGTATCGCAATACCAATAAAGCATCCGTAAGTCAAAACTCAATGCGCCCTTCTGAGATGTGCACCTTTCTCGAGAAATACCAAGTAGTTATATCATTCATCTTAACATCGAAAACCATCCATGTTGAGTAAGAATTTATGATCTTCCCTTCAAAACTGATCTGTGGCCTTGTACATGCAAATCTCAATCCCACACACCACACCGCAGCTATCATGCCACATATGAAAAGTATGGGAATCCCATAATCAATCCTGAGTCACAAGTAGAATACATATCCGATCATTCATAAACCTTCCATTTGATTCTATCCAGTAGAAAATCACAATACTCAACATGATCCTCACGCCGGTAGGAAACATCCATCTCAAACCATGGTAGAAACTATCGAGAATACTTTGAAGTTCATTTGCACATAACCAACCCATCGGAAATGAATCTCTCTAACTCAATCAAGCCACGCAGATCACCAAAAACTCAAGAGTATTGCCAAAAATCACCAGCAGGGACTCACCACATCATAAGAACCCAAAAGGACCGAGAATACCATTACTCTACCTAGGGCAGATTCATATGGGAGGGGGTGGGTTCACGTGAACCTATCCTGCTCTCCCTAAACCCGGTATAGCACAAGTAAATTTCAGCACAAATACTTAAATTTGTATGGGTGAACCCAACCTCAAGTGAGCACTATAGTGCGCCGGTAGAGGAGTGCACCTTCCCTCTACTAGGTCAGTTGTTCGATTCTCCACACTTTTTCTTTTGAAATTATCCATTATTTCACTTTTAGTTAATAAATTGGGTACAATCCCCATGCTCCTGGGCCCCGCAGTTTAAAGTTTCCCTGCTCCTTAGTACACACGTTCTTTGTTCTTCTTTTTTTCTTTCCCTCTCTTTATTAGTACACAACTCATTCTTTAGTTTTTTAGTTGATTTTCAAAATCCCTAAATTAAAAATACCTCTCCACACAAAACTCTCTAGCGCTCTCAAGTCTTCTGCAAATCAGCAAAATACCAACTTGTTTGCAAACAAAGGTCACATAATTTTCCAGTTTCTTTATCAATCTCACTTCTTCTTTTGTTTCTTTATCTTTTTTCTTTGATTTGTGAAGTTGGGTCGGAATATTATTGATTATTTGAATATTTAAAATTTATTTTGAGAGTCAAGAATGGAGAAAGTGTTATAATCAGCATTGAGAAGCTTTAAATCGGTTGTTGTCTTCACATCTTTAAAATTGGTATTGCTCTTCACTTCTTCTAGCTTCTTAGAGTAATGTCAAATATTTTGCCATTTATTTTTTACATACATCAGACTATTGAAAATTGAGAATCATGTACAACAGATTTTCTAGTAACTTCCAATTTTGGTCAAAGCATTAAGTTATTATATGAAAACAAAGGAAAGCTATTTAATCTCATAGACTTAGGAGCTTTAATTAAGGGTGACATTTTCTTGTCAATGTTACTCTGTCCATATTTGCTTGAATTTTTTATTTTAGAAGTACTGAAACTATTGATGGCTTGTTGCTGCACTTCTTAAAAAATGACAGTAACTTCCTAATTCCCAAATAATTGTCTAATACTTGTAACTTGTAATTTTTTTAATTATGAACTTGTGATTTTTGTGATTGTGATTATGATTGATTTGTACTTTAATAATTTTATTTGGATTCAGATTGAATAGAATTGTGAAAATTTGATTTTGTAGGAAAGGTAATCCTAACATTGAAATGAATAAATTTCTCATCAAGCTAAATGATGGCCAACCAAGTTCTAGTTTTTGTCGGCCATCTGCGAGTTCACAAATAAATCTGAAAGTTCAAAGACAGACACATCCTTCTCCACTATTAATAGTGGATAATGTGCTTGATTTGGAATCTCTTGAAGTGGGTCACAAAGAAAGATTGCCTATTTCAAATTATGGTCCTAATATTTGAGATAAAGTGAGAAGATATTATATTCAAATGGGGCCTTGTAAACCGATAGGTCATGTCTTCCCTAAAACTAAGTTTGGGAACAAAATGCGTCAATTTAGTCCTACTTGGTTCAACGGACCATATTCTCAATGGCTGGAGTATAGCATAAAAGCAGATGCTTCATTTTGTTTGTGTTGTTATTTATTCATGAACGAACTCCAAAGTCGTGGTAATGGGGAAGATGCATTTACAAAAGATGGTTTTAGGGGTTGGAACAAAGGTGTGGAAAGACTCAATGCACATGTTGGTGAAGTGAATAGTATCCATCATAAGTGTTTTAATAGGATGCAAGATTTGATAAATCAACGTCAATCGATTCTTTCTTCTTTTGACAAGCAAAGCGAAAAAGTAAAAAGTGATTATCGTATGCGCTTAAAAGTCTCAATAGATGTGGCAATGTTTCTCTTAAGATCGATATTTCCATTTCGTGGACATGATGAAAGTGAAGATTCTGAATATAAAGGCCCTTTTCTTGAACTTTAGGAATGGCATGGTGATAGGCATCCCGATATGGGAAAAGTAATATTACGTCATGCTCTACTAAATGATATGATGATTTGTCCGACAATTCAAAAAGGATTGTGGAAGCTTGTGCTAAAGAAACAACTAAAGCTATCATTGAAGACTTGGGTGGTGATTTTTTTGGAATATTAGTTGATGAATCAAAAGACGTCTCACATAAGGAGAAAATGGCTATAATTTTGAGATATGTCAACAAAAGTGGAATGGTTATAGAGTGATTCTTGGGTATTGTCCATGTGAGTGATACATCTTCTCAACCATTACAAAAAGAGATTTATTCTTTGCTTTTCAAACATTCATTAAGTCCATCCAAGATACGTGGACAAGGTTATAATGGTGCTAGTAATATGCAAGGGGAAATAAATGGCCTCAAGTATTTGATTTTGCAAGACACTCTGTATGCATATTCTATTCATTGTTTTGCTCATCAATTTCAACTAGCACTTGTAGCTCTTTCTAAAAAGCATCCGGATTGGGATAAATTTTTTTGTGTTGTCACTAATATTTTGAATACTATTGGAGTTTCTTTTAAGCGCAGGGATTCACTTCGGCAACATAAATTGGATAAATTAGAAGAGTTGATTAAATATGGAAAAGTTCCTACCGGGGAAGGTTTGAATCAAGAACGGGGCCTTCAACGACCGGGTGATACTCGTTGGGGGTCTCATTATAAGACCTTGGACAATTTCATATTTTTATTTTCTTCAATTGTCAATGTGCTTAAAGATATGAAGCGTGAGTGTCTATATCATCTTGATAGATTTGCCGCACAATATCTTTTGAGCGTGATTCAAGAATTTGCATTTGTGTTTATGTTGCACTTGATGTTTAAGGTGTTGCTATTGACAAATGAATTGAACAAAGTTCTACAAAAGAAAGATCAAGATATCGTTAGTTCTATGGGAATGCTTTACCTTGCAAAGAAAAGACTACAAACAATGAGAGAAGAGGAATGGGACTCTTTGATGGAGGAGGTTTGCTCATTTTGTGGTAAACATGACATTGTAATTCCTAACATGGATGAAGACTATGTTATTGGAAAGTCAAAATGTAAGAGATCTGAAGTTTCATATTTACATCACTTTTGTATGGAAGTATTTTATGATGTTATTGATTTGGAACTTCAAGAGCTTAATAGTCGTTTTTGATGTAGTGACTAGTGACTTACTCCTTGGTATGGCTAGTTTGAGTCCGGTTGATTCATTTGCAAATTTTGACAAGAACAAGATAATGAAATTGGCCAAGTATTATCCAAGTGAATTTGATGATAACAAGCTTCGGGAACTTGGTTTTCAACTCGATAGCTTCATTGTCTACGCTCAAAAGTGTGATAGCAAGTTTCTTAACTTAAAAGGAATTAAAGATCTTGCTAGAGTGATGGTTGAGACAAAATTAAAGATCAGACTTGGACACATGTATATTTAATTGTGAAGTTGACTTTGATTATACATGTTGCTACCGCAAGTGTGGAAAGAGCATTCTCATCGATTAAGTACATCAAAAATGATCTACGCATTAGGATGGATGGAGATTTCTTAAATAATTGTTTAGTTTGCTATATAGAGCGTGGGATATTTAAGATTGTAAGTATTGATGGTATTATTGACCATTTTCAATGTATGAAATCTCGTTGAGGACAATTGTAAAGTGAATAATGCCTTTTTTGTGAATATAGTATTAATTATAGTTTGCTCATGAACTTGTTGTCATCGTAAAATTATACTTGTTGTTCTTGAACTTGTTGTTCCTATAATCAGACCAATATCTATAAAATAAAATACGGTGTACCCATGCTCTTGAAATTCTGGATACGCCTTTGTACCATACTGATCGAACTTACTGCTAAGTTGTCCTACTTCTCCGAGTTTCTTCTGAATTGCCTTCAATTTGATACTTCTCCTTGCTAAAATACCACGATCCTTACCCAAACTCACCACAAGAGGTCTTAGCATAAACCACACGCCCTAAAGCCCATAAGCCATTGTATTCCTTCTTAAGTACCCCAAAAGTACCACAATCGAGATACCCACTCTGAAGAGACCTTGTGTGAATCTAAAGTTGTTTCCTTCACCTTTTCGATACCGAAATGTAAAATTCATAATTATATAGAAATAACACGAACCTCAGCGCCATCCAATGTAAATCTCAGATTCTAGCCATATACAAATTCTAAAAAAATTCTCAATTGCTACATATAAATCTTGAACCCATTAGAACCTTCTCGAGAGTCATCCAATCTGCTTAAATCTCAATTGCACCGCCCAAACGAGCCGAACGACATGTGCCCCATTATCACGGCAATGCTTAAAGAAATAACCCCCACCTCTAAACAACCGAGTGAACCCCTACTCCACGTACATTACATCCGTCACGAATAACAAACTCGAATCATTTTACGATTTTCATATACCCATAAAGGGTAATACATCATAAATCCAGAAGTTTCCTTGCTTAAGTCATCCTCAAAACCAGACACTGCAAGTCGTAACCGATCCACAAGTACTCCTCAGGCCAAAACCAATACAACACATAACCATGCAATCAAATCATCGATATCAGACTCCCCCACTTGGCTCGAAGCCATAGAACAAAACACTCGATAACTCATAATGCCCCTACTCTATTACTGACATGATCCCGCATCGAAATTCAACTCAATCCTTCATAAGGTCATGTAACACAAACCCTTTAATACCTCAAATCATCTATAAACCTCGAATTCATCCTTGTGACGGTCATGTCAACTATTACAACCGATCCAAACTCAGATCCCACAAATATAACCCACTAGTAGAAAAGGAAGCCTACACACAACATCATAAGGATCACATATCCATAGATTACCTCGCAGGTTATAACCCACTTGCTTAGTCTCAAACTGGCATATCTTTATACCCTTTCGCAGCAACTACTATGCCATCACTTAAATCTTTCTGAATCTAAACTCGTCAAAAAAACATAAGAATCTACTTCACCTCATAATGAACAACGTGAAACTTTCCTCAACATGCTCATAACTCAAGACTATATGTCACATCAAGGCAGAAATCAAGCACCCAATAGTCCTTTCCACATCTCAAGCAAACTCCTCTCGTCACATTCAATCCATCTGAACACATCCCGCAGTCACATCATACTCCTCATATAGCCATCCAACCACTCATCGATCCATAAATTCTACTAATAGGGACACTACCGGACTTATAAGTCCAAAGCACGTGCTCACACAACCGAAATCCCTGTGCTAAAGCTACAGTCAAAACCCGGTCTCAAGTCCTCCAGACTAGCCCATCATCAGCATACCAAAATCATATCTCGCACCTCATCCATGGGATCACAAGCCATCGATGTACAGTTGATACCGAGCGCTCACATGCGCATACGAATGCGTGGAAAGAATTCAAAGAGTTACGCTTCAAGCTGAATCAATGTCACACGATAAGGAAAGAAAGATGAGAAGTTTATACTAAATGCCCTATAGCCTCTCGAAGATAGGTATGGACGTCATCATACCGATCCGCAAGACGCTACTAGACACTTGCTCATGACTTGTAGAACCTATGAACCTAGAGCTCTGATACCAACTTGTTACAACAAAAAATCCAACTAGTCGTGATGGCACCTAACCCAACCCGTCAAGTAAGCCAATTAATAACTATCCAATTTAATGAGATTTATTAAGAAAAGAAATGATAATACAACTGCTTTTATACAAGAATTTTCCAAGGACTGGTAGTACAAATCATGAGCTTCTAAGAGTTAGATTTTTACAACAAAACTGAATCAAAATAAGTACAACATCTGTTTGAAATGTAAATGAACAGAATTTCGAATCTAATGCTACCAAGGAGAAGTGATAGCCATAACTGGAACGCAAGTACATCTTCAAATCCAGCTCCCGTCGTACCCAACAATATCAGCATCCAACATCTACACGCAAAGTGTAGAAGTGTAGTATGAGTACAACCGACCCCATGTACTCAATAAGTAACAAACCTAACCTTAGGTTGAAAGTAGTGACGAGCTGGGACAAGGGTCAGAGTCCAACTTCAATAACCAGAAATAGTTCATAATAATATAATAAAAAGGGTACATGAAAATAACTCAGAGGTAAGATGCTTAACTCGTTTATAGTTACGAAAAAATAGACATGATTTTCAAGTATAACAATAATTCCAAATATTTCACCTAAAACCCCAAAAGCATATAAGTTTGAAAACTGTGATTTATCCAAAAACCTTTCAACAATAAATAAGATGTTTCATTTTCAGATAGCATGAGAAAAATATATCTCTATGCCTACATGTCAATATACAGGTGGAATCATGAACGTCACCAAAATCGGGTAGCAGAAGGGAATGCATCTCTATGCATGTATTTCAAGTACGCATGTCGAATAAAATGTATTTAAGTGATGAACTCATGTACTCACACTCTCAGAGTACTCAATCTCAGTGTCTCGTATTCTCTCTCACCATACTCAATACTCAGCACACTCGGTCACTTAGCAATGTACAATACCTGATGCTGCATGCAGCCCGATCCATATATAGCCATAAGGCATGTTACGACGTGCAACCCGATCCACATATATATAGCCATAAGGCTTGTTGCGGCGTGCAACCCGATCC